GAAAACTCATCTGCATATTATTATCACGCCATTACTGCGCTTTTTCCAATCAGTTACAGAATTAGCATTCGGTACCCTGTAATCATTCAGCGACCTTTCCAAAAAACGGTATTATAATGTGCCAGTAATGGCACATATGCTACGAATGATGTCTGCACTTGTTCTGATTGTTTCAAGAAAAAGAAATCAATTTGCAAAAGTTTGGGTTTGTAATTTCCGGAGCTAAAGCCGCTCAGGGTTTATCTGACGGCCTTCCGATTCTGATATTTGACTTATCTGCCGCTTGCTTCATTGTGTGTTTTGTTTAATAATTTCCGTTCAACTCTGATAAATGTCTGCAATTTCAGAGTTTAAATACGCCTGCAGTCGGCCCTCTGACAGAGGGAAGGTCGAATAAAGTCTGACTGTGAGAAATAGTATTTCCGTAGCGCCTTCACAAAGGCGGGGGGAAAAAGGACCAAGTATCACCTACCGTAAACATCCTGCACAGGAGTCTATTGTCAACATGACCTGTTTTCCTCCATTGGAGGGCACACTTTAATAAGCAGTGGTGAAGTGAGCCGGAGCCATTTCATGTACACTGTGATCCTTTTACAGTAGAGGAGCCGCATCTACACTTCTACACATTCCCAAGATTTGTTGCTCACCCCCCACCTGGCACTGCTCCCAGAAATGTCCTGGCATTGCCTTTAGTGTTAAGAAGATTATGAAAAAGTGCTCTTCATATGAATTATTATGTTTCAAATGACTGTTCTCTCACAAATGTTTCATTAATAACTTTGACGGCTTTTTTTTTTGTCCGTCTTGTTTTCCTGCCAGATAGGAAACATTGCAGGTTTACTTAAATGGTGATTATGTAAAAGTGGCTGAATATTGTCATTGGCCCTTATGGGATAATATTGATTAAATGTACTAGAGCAGTAGAACAAGATGAAAATAGTCTTAAAATCAACCCAGTAACTTAGTTACACAGCAATATTCATCTAAAGTTTGCTAAAATTAGCCAACGTAAGCTATTTTTTTTACCAGACCAAGTCCGGCTGTAGTTTTAAATCAAGCGTATGTGTTTTATTGCTTATGAATTCAATGTTTCATATGTGAGATAAATGCATTTTTTGTGTTGCAAACTTTCGTAGTTATGCTTTAATGATCATTGAGTGGGAGAAGCCACATATTGATTTAATTTATGAAATATCCATCAATTCACACTCCTGGGACCTTGACCTTTTGTCCCTCCGTCTCTCTCTGTCAAAGACACAAAACACAGGCTGACCAATCTTAAAATGTGAATTTGTTTGTTCCCTTCCTGTTCAACCCTTTCCAGATGTGGAATATTTACGCTGCGGCCGTTGAATAGTGCTGCTGATCATTAATGACAAACGAATTGACCTCTGTTTTCTCACCTTTCCACCTTAACGACTTCTTCAACGACTTCAACATCGGAGGCCATCAATTACAGCGGAAATCTAAATATCGATGTGAATTACCATCTCTTACTTTACTCTAGATTACATCTAGCTGTCTTGCTTTCCATCTCTTTCGCTGTCTTCATCTCTGCCGGCCTTTCTCTCACTCACACCCGTCTCCCATCAATCTTCCTCCCTCTCCCCTTTTCTCCTGTCAGGACTTTCTCTGAGTTCCCTTTGATCTTCGCTAACATAAATTGAGCAACTTAGAGATCAGTGGATATCATCCTGAACACTCACGCTCAGGTGAAACTTCAGTTCATTTTACTGTGTGTGTGTGTGTTTGCGCAACAATTGGGTGACACTAGAATAAGCATTTGTGTTATTTTATAATGTATACTTGACTAAATGAGTATGCGCATATATGCACACGTGTGTTTGTGTGCAAAAAATGTCAGGGATTGAGAAAGAGTAAATATTACGTAAATAAATTATTAAGTAAATACATATTTTTTTTAAGCAGTGCTTGCTAACTGTGTTTCTGGGCTCTAGTCTTGCACCCGCTGTACTTTCTGGGTGTTTAGCGGCTCTTTGATCTGCAGATAGTTGGATGGTTACGCTGGCTCCCCCCGACTGATGCATGGGTGGTTTCACTACGCATTCTGCACACGGTGGGTAGCTGGACGGTCGATGTGTGCGTGTTTGCTTTTGTGTGTGTAAAAGGCTGAAGAGGATGAAGTTAATAGCTGCGAATTGGTAAAGAAAGAAGTTGTGAGATGTTCTTTATTCTAAACATTACCTAGAGCTACTGCTGCCTCCCAGCCAAGGTATGATCTTATCAAAGATGCCCCCCCCACATGTCAACGAGATTGTGTGCGGTTAAAAATGTCACATTAATTAGAAAGGAATTTGTACTTAATTGGACTGAGTTGAATCAAAACACAGTGCAAGTGCAATACATTTCCCTGACTGACTGTGTTGCAAAAATGTAGCTTGATAAACTGAACTTGAGTAATGATATAAAACAGACATTAGCTGTCTCACTAGATTCTACTCTTTTTTCAACTGACAGGATTTCTCTGTCATTTTGTTAGGATTAATTATCCCTAAAACTTAATGATCTGTAAATATTACTGTTTATTTATTGCACCAATATCCACATACTCAGCCCACTTGTTCAAATCCATAATATGGGTTATTCTGTTTTCTGATTTACCCTATCAGAACAAATCCACAACCTCTGACACATAGCTTGTCCTCCAGTCAAACACACACAGCCCGCCTATCTCAGCACAGCATTAAAAGATAAGACATTTTTTCATTTATGGACAAATGTGTTTCCATAGATTTCCCATTCAATCCATCTATAGCTTGTTGTAGAGCGCTCGCCTCTCATATTAGCAGCCGTGAATCAACTCTCTTTATCGACACGTGCATTCATGCCAGTGTAGCTGAATAATCAGCGTGCAGAGTGCCGGCCGCAATCTGTTACTCTATCCATAAATAAAGATATTATATTGGGTACACGGGGGGCTAAATGGAGCTGAAGTAACACCTTGGATAGAGAATAGAACATACTGGGTCACCGCAAACGAAACCCAAAATGTTCTGGAAAACAACTCCTCTTCTCCTTTAACATAAACACCGTGTAGTGTTGCAGACATTTTATCCACAACTTGCGGATTCTTTCATAAGAGGAATTTGGGAGTTGGCTTTGTGACCGAAACTCTCTGTAGAGAATAAGCCTTGGAGCAGCAGCTGCTGTATCGAGGACAGTTTTCTTCACAGAGCTGTGGTGCTGTCCTCTGGTGTGAGGAGCAAAGCCTGCAGAATATCCATAACTGTATTCCTGGGTGAGTAAAAGAGGGGTTAAGAGACCTGCCAGTGTAAACTGTCATGCTGGATCTGAAATAAAAATACAGGTTACCACGTACATTTCAAATACACGCTGCATGGCAGGGGATACCCAACATGTGATTATACTACTCATGGTATCTTCAGTGAGCTACATTTACCAACCAGTGTTTGATCCAGTGTCTAATTAATTCCTTAAGTTCTTGTGTTTATGGCAGAAGAGGGAAGCGTATGAGGGAAAAAGGGGATCTGTCTTTGAAGTGGTGTTGTGCAAATCTCTAGAGGGTAACCAGCCCGAGGCTGGACTGTGGGGAGAAAAGCAAATACCACTTTTCCACTGCGGGCCAAAATTGGGGCTAGCCGAGGCCATGTTTACTACACTTAATTACCATTACCTGTTTATTTGAAACCATATCCCATCCAAAACAGAAAGCATGATGGCGGCAATGGGTCAGGAGAGAAAAGTTTAGCTTCGATTGTTACTGAGAGGAAAAAATAACATTGTTTGGCCCTGCGCTGGAATATGGGCTCTCAAGATTCTGCAACCCTCTGCGGTATACCCCTCCCCATGCCGAACCAGCTAATGAACTATCAGCTATCTATCTTTAGTCCACCAAGGGCCCACTTGTCCTTCCCTGCAGACTGAAGCTTTACTCCTTGACAGGTTTTACTTAGGGGAATACAAACCCCCCGGCTCCAAAGTAAAGTGTGGCATTCTTCTCAAAGTCATTTTCACGTGAAAACAGGATTCATTGATGCTATTTCTGTTGTCGCAGACATCACCATTGATATTTGTATACATGAAACCAGACCCATTTCCAAGCAGGAAACTAAACTGCGGTAATTGTCTGTTATGTCAGCAGGATACAGAATAATTTTTCTTCAGTCAGTTAATGACATTTAGCAACTGAAAATGAGTGAAAACTACAGACCAATTGCTACTTCACATTATTGTGTTGATTTGTTTTAGTGCTAAAGTCAGCATACAAGTTAACATACAAATGCAGCATATATATCAGAGATCTTCATGAGGTAATCACCACTTCAAAGCATAACTAATGCAAAGGCCATTTAAACAGAGTTGCATTGAAGTAGGCAACAGTTAAGGTCGATGCTTACTTACAGTCAGCTAATGGGAATTTAAAAAAAAGCTCTGTAACAATAAAATGCATGTACAGTACTAAAGGCTTGGCCCAAATGTGAGTTTTGTGACATAACTATTTCTTTCACACAATTCTTGCACTGCAATTGGGAATAAACTGGGACACATTAGGAATGTTTACCTTTACGGCTGTAGAAACCAATAAAAAAAACACAATAAAATGCCATAATTTTTATTACAACAATTATTTTAACAGGTTAAGAACACATCACATCAACCATCATACAAGCAACATACACAGGCACGATGACAGTTGAGGCATGACATTACAACTAAAATTTGGGTCTGGTTTAATAACTGCAGATATTTCCTGAATCTAATGTTCCTACAAGAAATGTGCATGAAACAGAAGAAAATGGTGCCCTTAAAATCGTGTTAAGGGCTTTCTAGTAGTAAGAAGATAGGTTTGTACGGATCAAACCATATTATGCAAAGTACCTTTGTAGATTAAACCTTTAAAATGAACTTTCACAAGTTTAATTAATATTTTAGCACATTCACTAGTTAAAATATGACAGTTGTATTCCCTTTCTTGTGTTAGTTTCGGTGACATCCGCGTTAAGTTTGGCCCTCTAGTTGCTGACACCCCCCGCCTCTCTACAGTAGTGGTTCGCGCCTCACTCCAGCTGATCGGCCCAGGATTCCCCGGTGGCTGTGCCCGTCGCTGGCTTTGACGGCTCCGGTCTTTCAGCGCCGATTTCAGCTGTTATAATTACACCGAGTCAGTGGCCGCTCGTGTCGGCAAACCGTTCCTCGTCCCGGTGAGACGGTATCGAAGGGATACCGCGGCCGCGGTATTGAGTCCGTGCTTGTCAAAACCAGGAGACCTGAACACAAATACGAGGCCCTCACTCCGACCCCGGATTCACCTGCTACGGCGAGAGCCTCACGCGAAAGACCGACATGGGGGACACGGGCAGCGAGGGCAGCAAGCCTCCGAGTAACGTCACCGTTGTACCCCCGCGCTGCCACTGTGGTTTCTGGGGGTAAGGCGAAATAACTCTCACGTGCCTGGGCGGACGAGGCTTTCGTTCTACAGGCAACCGCTAGCTTTAGTCGCTAGCCATTAGCATTAGCAGCTCAAACAGGGATGAGCTGCTTTTCTTGTTGTTACCCCCCTCCCCATTGTTTTGTAGCATTAGCTGCTAGCTAGTCCCAGCTGGCCTAACCGTCTCCTGTACCGGGGGAGAGAGGGGATAAGCCCTCCAGGTGACGTGACAGCGGCGAGAAACTAGCTAGTTTTAAAGTGTTCAGTCAAAAAGCGTAGCCAGTAAGTTGAATATATATACATGATATCACATTTTCTGTAACTGTCTTGAGCAGTGCTTTTGTCTTGGCCTTGTGAAAAAGAGATGTTTAATCTCAATGAGGCATTTCCTGGTTGCTACGGTAATACAAAAAGTTCCACCGTTGCTTACAGTCTTCTATACGTTCTATAAACTTCACATTTTCAACAGGTTCAACCTAACTTTGCAACTCGTTTGACCAAATCAACAATCAAGCAGCCCGTTTTGACAAGTCACTGATATGTCCCCTGATTATTTAATCACTGTAACATAAGTCTGTCTGTCCTTGAGATTTTTTTAACCCATCATTTACCCAGTCACTAATGCTAAATTAATTTCATATGCAGTAGTTTCCAATGCTTTGATTAAATTGTTAGATAATGATGTGTGATTGACATCTGAGATGGTGTTCACAAATTAAGATGTTGTGATTTTCTAATTTCTCCGTACATTTTTAACAGAAGCAATTGAAAGTGCAGTAGGAAAGTCTATTACGTCTTTAGCAGCAAAACATGAATTTGTGGGCTCCTCTTTTTAAATGTACGTTTTCTTTTTTACTTTTACATTGTAGTAAACTGGATATATTTGTGCTTTGGACTGTTAGCCGGACAAAATGTTGACAAATGTTCACATTTTTATGGACCAGAGAGGTGATTTATTAGTTAAAAACATTTTCTGTAGACCGATACTAATGATGGAAATGATTTTTGGTTGATATTTAGTCTCTGTCAACACTAAGTGTAATACTTCAGAGTTTATGATCGCTGACACATCATGCGGTGCAAAGTATGAGGACACCAGCGTGTCCAGTGCAAGTTAAATTGTTTTACTTAATGAACCGTATCCAAACCGTGTACCTGGCTAATAGTTATCATCGCCATACTGTTTAAGCTGAATTCATGTGTAACTCCCTAGGGAACATGATCATGACTCTTTCAAGGTGACAATCTACAAGTAATTAATAATGAGCTGAAGAACATGTGTGATGATACAATCTGACTATTAGTCAGACAGGATGTCTCATTACACAACTGAGAAAAGCACAATGGATTGTGGGATATTGAGGGTACACTTGATGCACTGAGGCTGGTATCTCACCGGTATTAGGAGAGGCCTTTGAAATAAGGCATGCCTTATTGTCTGGCTACCATAGATTTAGTGTAGAAATCCCGCCCGACTTGCTTAATGCTCAAATGCTTTGTAGTGAAAAATCTTTCTTGAATCTTCCATATTGGAGGAGGACTGTTGCATTGTATCATTTGGGTTTTGGATGGAAACACGGGAAGTGGCTGCGATCACCTGTGAGTTGCTTTGTCTGCTTCGGATCTGTGAAATTGTGTGACGTGTGAAACGCACGTCCCTTCAGATTGTTTCATTGCATCAGGGTACTTGCGTGTCGTCTGTCTCTTTTTACATTTTTTTTACATGTCTCTTTGTGCCTCAAAATTGTTTGAAGAGGCAATTCGGGTGCCCCATGTATGGTTGTGATTGATGCTGTGATGCTCATAAACTGCAAATACATCTGACATTTAGCAGCTCGTTCGCTCTCTTGTTATTTCTGCCTGAGAGCAGGAGGCTGCATTGTCTTCACACAGGACGGGTTAGGGTTACTTCTTTTCCCCCTTTCCCTAAGGTCCATACTTCAACTGTACCAAACTATTTTAGTGATTTCATATTGGCAAAAAACGATTCATAACACTAATAAGTAATGAGAATTCTGTTCCCAAGGCTATTTGCAAATTGCTGGATTAGTTGAGCAGTTTCATTAGTTTCAGCCCCATATTTGTATCCATAAAAAAATGATTTAGATCAACAAAGGTATCAAATGCATGCTTTTTTTACATTGAAGTGTTGATCCTTGGCGTGTGGAAGCTTGTGCTGCCCGTACAGTTTCTGTCAAAGGGCCCCTCAGCAAAGCAAAGCCTCTGGATATGTTACAATGTATAACTGACATATCTCCTCCCCCAGTAAAACAAAACACAGCTGAGCCACTTTCTGATGCGATCTCATTCCCAACAGACACCAGACATTGTGCTGCTTCTGTACGTGATTAAATTAAACAGACAGTGTGCTCTCCACTAACAGACTTCTCTCCGTATTTCTGAAGTTATTTTGAACTTCCCCGCTATTCTCATTTAACTCGCTTCAAAAACATTTCTCACTCATCCGAGCCTTTGCTCCTTTGTGTCACTCAAACTTTATCACCGAGGTAACGGAGCCCATCTTCCTGTCTGTTCCAATCAGATATTCTCATTAGTAACAGCAGTGGGCCAACTGTGTTCTCTGTTTAAACTTCACTCGGCATAACAAGCAGGCAGCATTTTCTCTCTCTCATCCTTCCACACCGCTTTCAGCTGCTTAATTAATCAGAGTTGATTACCTCTGATTTATAATGGTGACAACAGGATATGACTTGTTCACCGAGGACCCGGCTTCCTCCCTGCCCGTGTCTCATGATTAGTTTTCTCCCTCCATTCTTATGTCTTGCTTCCTCCTTTCCGTTTTATACCCGAGACCACACACCGGCAGACTGACTGACCGACAGACACAGACAGACAGCCCCCAGGTTGACTGCAGCTGACCCTACATTTGGAAATGAGCACAAAGGTGTGCAACAAAGCGCCCAAAATAAATAGATCGCGACTGATAGCAGCGACCGTCACGCTCAATGCACCGACCGTGAGGACGAATGCAGGGGAGGAGATGACAGCAGCCTCCTCAGAGGAAGGCCACAGCCATCTGTTGTGATAGTTGTGCCACGGAAATCGGCACAGCTTTGGGAACCAACCTCCTAACAACCGCTATTTTATATCTATATCAACGATTTGGAAGGCAATAATGTTTGTAGCTGGTAAAAGGGGCGAGTTAATGAGGTTTGTAATGGTCTCCATTCATTGATCACCTTCATCAAGCCAGTAATTGTCACTGCAGTTGTGTACATTGCCAACTCAGATGAGAAGCCCATTTATTTTCATTTGGAATCAACGGTTTCTTTGCAAAATTGGACATACTTGTTCCACCACACTGATTTACTATACAGCTGCTACTTTGTACAGAAGCAATATTTATCAGTCAGAGACGACTCACCGTATATATAGACCATAAATCTATTTGATCATATTATATTCACAACTGCTTATACGGTAAAACCAAATTCCTGACAGATTTATGTAAAACATCACAAAAGGAATGAATGGAAATGTAACTTTAAACCAATATAATTGGGTGAATCTTTATTTATTCTGCTCTTTTAGAATGGGGAAGCCGGGAGATTCGAAAACATAATCTCAAAAGAGTCTGTTTAGAAAATGTAAAAACCCCAGCTTAGACACACAATTGGTTTCTATGGTTACCATGTTAGCAAACTAGGCTCACTTCCCACCTGCACACACACCACATAGACATCACATTGTCGGGGTGATCCTGGTCACCTGATGAATATACGTACCCTTTTTTTCCCCTGCTAGTTTGGTCACCAACTCCTGTAGATGTTTAGCTGTTAGGAGATTGTGGACTTTCTTCACCAACCACTTGTTTACAGTGACTTCAGGAATATTGGCGTAGTATATGATCTGCAATTTAAAGTTTTAATGTCAACAAGTTGGTTGACATTAAATATATGATTGATAGTTGATTTAAATATATTCCCACTTAAAAGGCACTACGTGGCTTGTAAGTTGTAACTTGAAGCGTTCCTAAAACATGTATATGATTTTTAATTCGTACTCTGAATTTGTATATTTACATTTCTTATAAAAGGAAAGTGCAAGTTGTGCAGAGATAGATATAAAGGACAGTTACATCTCAGTTGAGAGGATACCCATCAGCAAAATAATATTGACTGCAGTTTTGGGATTTTTATACGAGCTATTCGTGAACACGTTTCTTTTTCTCTCTCTGCTCTTCTCCTCAGATCGAGCAAAACTATGAATCTCTGCTCCAAATGTTTTTCAGGTAAGTTCTGGTTCTTCTCCTTACTAATAATACCCTGCGAGGGCAATGTTTACCACACGCTGCCTTAACTCAATACTCAGTCAAGTCAAGTGTGGGACTTTTGCTCGAGTCTTTTGAGAGTATTTGTACCAATCACACTTTGCTCGCTATAGGTCACATTCTGACAGTCGGTGCCAGAGATATGAGTCAGAAAACAATATTCATTTGAGATCTGTGTCAGAGTATCAGTTTCTAAATGACTTTGAACATCATTCAGAGATTGCCCAGAGTTGATGAATGATGTATTCAAACGTGTTTCACAGATGCTCACAAGTGTCTCTCCTTTTTCCCCCACAGACATTCAGAACAAACCGCCAGACGATGATTGTGCCCCAAAGGCCTCCGCAAGCTCCAGCAGCAACCAAGCAGACATCTTCTGCGCTGAAACAAACGGCAGCATTAGTCAGTCGCTGATGACGATGCCTAGCACATCAGAGGACCCTTCGCCAGCAGGGGAGACGGGAGAGACTTCTCTACCGGCTCAGGACGGTAGGGCGGCAGTTAATCCTGTTTGATATCTCAGATTAGTGACGACGTTCCATGAATCTATTGAACGATCCCCCCTCTGAAGTGTAGTCTAACTCGGTCTACTTCCGCAAAGTGGTCGGTTTAATTCAAATGGTGTGTGGCTAATGCCTTGCAATTATAGGAATTAATGTTTAATGTTTAATGCACAAACTCTTGGTTTTGGTTTTTAGTGTTGCAAAGAGTTTACAGCTCACAGGCCGAGGTGTCCCTGCAGAAGACTGCTCCTTGTTTGTTCCAGCCGACGTGCCCCGTCCTGGCTATATTTGTCCTGGTGGCACAGATGAGAGAGAATGATAGCAAAGGGTATCCGTTTAGAAGGGAAGCTTTTACGAGGACACCTACAATTGACATTGCGTTGGTCATTGTTATACAGTGACAACGTTTTTTTTTTTTTTGTGGAGGCCGGCCGAGGAGGGGACAATAAAATGAGTGTGTGGGAAATGTTGTGTAAACATGTTCCTACACTAATGTAATCCTCTGTTCCAATACACTAGTAAACGATTAAAGCTGATAAAAAGAAAGTACCCACATGGTAAAGGAATGCTGCAGGGATAACATTTTTTATTGGATAACCGCCGCAGTTGGTGTCGCACTTGTTGCCTCGATAAAAAGTAGATGGGATTTTTTTCCTGCTGGATTGTGGATTATTGCAGACTGTGGCCGAAGGAAAGTTTTTTTGTTCGAGACTGACATACTTTATTTTTATGTGGTTAAAAAAAAAAGTTTAAATCTGTCACCCATGTGTTAAACCACAGATCTTTTTTCAGTGACTTTAGGTCAAAAGAAGCTGAAACGCTCACTTATTTCTGGGTTGGCACAGATTTCTGCACTCAATTGACTAACTAAATGACACACGTGTTCCTCCATGATCACTCATTGATGCACCATCAACAAGTTAAGACTTCCACTTATCTACAAAAGTATACCATGGGTAAAGAACCTTGTAGAACTAAAGATTTTACTTATTATTTGTTACTCTAGCTGTAACACGTTAATGATTATATGAAAATATATCTGCAAATATTCATTGAACAATGTTTTAGGGCAATGGCAACAGATCATTGGTTCTAACTTTTAGTTTTTCTTCGAACTGAAGCTTTGCTTCGGCAGTCTACCTTCCAGATATGTCTTTTTCTGAAAGGGAAAAAAAGCTGGAGGATTATTGAAAACAGCACCACAGTATTCTGTTTTTAGATGATTTATTGTGGCATTATTTATCCCTATTTTCTAAATCAATATATCCCAAAGACCTTTGATTTAGGCTCACATTTAAATGAGAACAGTTACAACAAACTGTTATCCTTAAATCATCTTTTCTTCTTTCATTTGATTTTTCTCATTTGCTCCCCCTTTCTCTTTTCTCACTATGTCTCTTTCAGAAGTATCCAGCACAGACACAGTCTTCAGTTCACTCTCCACTCCCACAAAACGCTCCTTTGAGTCAGGTATGCCTCAGCTCTGCCATTACAATGTCCATTCTTTTTTTTCTTGCTTGTGTGCTTGTCCACTTAAGGTATCGGAATGGGGGACGAATTAGCATAAACAACATTGGATTGATCCCAACTAGCCAGGTTAATTGTACTTCCAGTGCAAACAGCCGGGGGGAAGGATACTGGGAAGGCAATCTTATCTGTGAAAAGGTGCAAATGTGCCAGATTTAATTCTGACTATTGAGGTGTGTGTCTATATATTATATATTCTAAATCTTTGTCACATCACAACACGATGCTCCTATGTTTGATTCTACCAATAAAAAAAAAATAGACTTGCATTATTAAAGAGAACGTAAGAAGAAAGGCCAAATTAAAGCTCTCCTGGCAGAACTGAAACACGGAGGATGATTATTTATTCTACACTCGTAGAGTTATTATTTATTGAAATAAGTTCAACCAGGCGGATCTCCAAACTCTGTAATTTGTGGTGTAAAGCTCCCTTTATTGTGCGTCCCCATTAGTTCACATGGAACGCAAACACCGGTGAGAACATGCACACAACGTAGGACAACCGCAGAGCAGGCGATGCTCAGCAGCGGTGTGTGAACACGTTGATCCCTTGTCTCCTGCAGCGGGATCATGTGAGCAAACACATGCGCACGCGGCATCACTTGAACCTTGATGTGGCTGAGTTGTAGGCTCTCTTGTTCCTGCCTCTCAAAATGCGTTTTGATCTGAAGCCGGGACGCTCTCTTGTGCCACCTACAACTCTCTTAAAGAGGTTCATCGTTCAAATGCTTTTGCTTTATATTTTGACATTTGAGGAGCGTTAATTGGCTGCAAAGATTTTCCCAGGATGAAGAAAAGCTGACACAACATGCACTTGCATGTGTAGAGACACACATGCTACAGCACCTATAGGGATCGAGGGAGGCTGGCTACGGGGATCTGGCTGCTCAGCTTGGCCTAATTCTCTGAGATTTATTGAGTGCTGATCAGCATTTGGCCAGGCCAGAGGAAAAGTCCACATGATTGATGAGAAAAAGCTGACGTTAGATTCCAGCCGAACAGAAAAACCCGCCACAAGCTCTCCATGTCTCTGGTGCTGGGTTGAATGTTGTCTAATATGAGAGAATTATTCATCTCCAAAGCACACTTGAGGTAACACCGAGATGGTTGATCCGTAGAGTACAAACAGGTGGGATAGAGATGTCTGGTTGCATTGCATAGTGTAATATCAACCGCTGATCATTTACATTTTGTTCCAAACATCCAGATGATCACCGCAACAGCAGCTTGTTCAGAGATTTCTGCTGTAAAGTTTTTTTTCTCTTCTTTTTTTTTTCTACAGCCTCTGAGTCGGAAAGCGACGTTTCACCCGAGAAGCGCGCAAGAATGGGCGACGTCCCCGAGGGCGAAGAGTCTTCATCGTCATCTTTGTCCGCCTCGTCATCATCGTCCTCGTCCCGCAGTGGCTCTAAACAGCGGAGCCGCAGGCGTTGCCATCGCTGCCAAATCAAACTAGAGCTGGTTCAGCAAGAGCTGGGTTCCTGTCGCTGTGGTACGGTGATGACACTATATGCACGTGAACATGCATCGGCACACACGTTCTAACCTATGGTCAGATGTACGCTGACACCCGTACAAGCAGAGCCTCACTCTCACACGGGAGCGTACACAATAGTTATTGTAGCTTGTGTGTCTTGAATGACACATGTTTCCGTGGTTAATATTAGCCTCCTGAGTACATAATCCCATATTGGTCATAGTTTTGAGAATTGAATGGAGTGCAGTGAACTGCATCCACTTCCTGACCATTTGTTTTTGTGTTGACGGGAATGTCGATGATCGGAGGAGTGCCTTTGCTACCCTTAGGGCACCAATTACAGAGAGCCTGAATGTTTCACATTGCACATAAAACATAAGCCAATTACCACGAGCACTAATGCGGTTTAAAGCAATACTTAACTAATCAACTTGTTTGCATACAAATTAAAGTACTTAAAGTCACAGCTCTTCACTGCTTAAAGACCATCTGCTTAAACCCACGCAACAATTTCTAAATTGGAAATCGACTTCCACCAGGCGCCACTTAATGCATGGCCCATCCATCCTTAATAGTCCAATGCTCACTATGAAAACATGCTTTTACAGACCGAAGTGGAAATGGGGGCCATTATGGTGATAACGGTCTATTGCTTTAATTGCAGATTACTTTGCTAATGCTTCTGCAAAATGTTTCACAGTGTAAGGCCAGAAGGTCTGATAACTAGTTGAAAGCACTGACACTTTTCAGATAGTAAATGGGGGAAGAAAGTAAAGGTTTAGTGGAGGATCTGAGTAGACTGTTGCTCTTCCGCAGCAGCTAGAATACCCATCGGTCTAAAGTCTGAGTGTAAAACAGAGCTCAAAAAGCTAAATATCTAAAATCCCAAAGAAGCAGAATCTTATTCCTAGTTGGTATTTCCAATGACTGAACAAAATGAAGTGTATTTTGTGGAATAGCCTTTTCTAAATAGTTAAGACAGTTTGGTTTTTATGCTTTACAACCCATTAAAAACATAAATTACCTCCCAGCTCTGGGATGTTTTCAAGTCAACTCAATTCACTGTTCAATGGCGAAACAAATTGTGTTAAAAACTTCAATTTGTTACAAATGGTGTAAAGAAAATCTTTCGTAAATCGCACTGAATATTTTCAGGCAGCTAAAAAAAGAAATCCTTCCGGCATCGTTAGCATTTTTTTGGGGGGGGAGGATTTAAAATATAATGTTATGTATTTTCTATCCCACATAGTATTTGTTAAATATCTTCCAATTGGCCCTTTACACTCATACTCTCTTTGCAGTAAGCAAGCAAAGAGGTTTGGATTTCCTCTCTTGCCCCCAGTGTCCAGCAGCCCATCTCCTTTTTAAAGCTTCACATGTTACACAACGTTCTTCCTCCTACTCCATTAATGTGCGCTGTAATCACATTTTAATTGCGCAGCAACCAGCTGTCGAACTGGGTTTTTAATCACCACTCATTGAATGCCGGCAGCGTTGTTGTGTGTATTAATGAATGCATTAAAGACGAAGTGAGCTGACTACTTTCTTTCCTACAGTGGCAGAGCCTCGTGTTCACAGTGCTGCTGTAGAGACCGAGTCAATGAGAAAGTTGAGGGTTGTCTGCCTTTTGTTGAATGGAATCAAAAGAGGAAGCTGTGAAGCAGAATGTCTTCTCTTTTGAGCGGACCTTTTACAAAGCTTCTATCCGTTTAAAAGTCGTGTCTAATGTGAATGCGTTTGTCAACCAGTTCTGCTTGTTACCCCTTGTGTAATTTAAAGGGGTTTAAACCATTTTTAAATAATTTAACTATAGAAATGGATGTTTAATGCACTGATTAAATTTCGTAATATATTGGTTTCTGTTCAGTGTCTGCTTTCGGCCGCAGTCATTTTCTCAACTCTGCGAATTAACCACTCTCGCTGTTGTACACCCATGACCCCCCCGCCCCCACCCTCCAGGTTATGTCTTCTGTATGCTCCACCGGCTTCCAGAGCAACACGAGTGTCTGTTTGACCACCTGGGCCGCGGCCGCCAGGAGGCCGTCTTGAAGATGGTCAAACTGGACCGCAAGGTGGGCCGCTCGTGCCAGCGCATCGGAGAGGAGTGTTCCTGAGCGGCCGTTCCCTCAGAAGAATCTCAGTGCTCAGACGGTGTCTTCGCACCGTCAGGGGTTTGATTTTTATTTTGTTTTCTTGGTTTTGTTTTTCAAGATTTTTGCAGTTTTTTTTGGATACAAACCTCCACCCTTTCTTTTAAATTATCCCACTGTTACTATACCCCTGTTGTTTTCTGCTTCCGTTCGCTTGATCATATCCCTGCTGCTAAGACGCCTTTTTGGAAAACCCCAACCCAGGAATGACCGAACAATAAAGCGCAAAGGAAATATACAATTTCTTAACTTTTTTCTTGCAAGTTCCCGACTACAAGTGTGAACAGAGTAAAGTGACGAGAAGAAATACAATGCTTTATACAAATGTTTGTCCCGGAAGCCAGTGTAAGACTATACTCTTTACCTCAAGAAAAGAAAACTTAGATTGACAAGGAGGAGGAGGAGAAAAGGGACGGTTTGTGTACACTTCAGCTTTGGCGCGGTTTATAGACTGTGCTCTTTACCTCAAAATCAGACAGAGCTGCTTTGTACTCTGCGCCAAGCATGGATTTTGTGAAGCAAACCAAGCAAGTGAGCCTCAGTTTAAGTCTTACCCCCCCCCCCCCCCTCCCCACACTACCCCACATCCCTTTAGGAACATCTGTTAATCATCCACCTCAGGATATCAAAGCCCAATCTGCAACACCCACCAACTTTCTTCTCCTTTTATCTACAAGACACCTTTTGGCTCCTTTGTGTTTGTTTGCTGTAAGGTTATTCCGAAGGGGGTTCTGCTCTGTTAAATGGTGGGTTGAGAGGGGTGGGGGGGAGGGGGGGGTATTGTAAGTCCCAATCGAGGAACTTGCCGTGTGAGCCGGATTCAAACACATGGGCCGGTTGTCCTTGGATTGCACACGGATCCGTCATCGACGCCGGGATGCGATTTATGGAGACTTCAATTGCGACAGATTCTCTTCCCGTCTTCATCGTCCCTGAAGCCCTACGGCACGAAGACACGTTCTCCCCACACACAGGTCTTTAACAACGTGTGGGTCGCGTGTGCTAGGTATGTACAGACTTACGGACGACGACACTGACGTGACGTATATGGAAATTTGCGAACACTTTTCAGACTCAACCAGACATTTCTGCGTTGTATACTTCCACACATCTCCATACTTTTACAAAAATATGCACACCTTGTATTCGTTTTGCGTGCTCGGCTGTTGTTCACATTGAGCGCACGCGGGCGGGATCGGCCGTTGTTGTTGAGGTGGGACTCTGGCGAGGTGGCGGCGGCGTGGAGGTTCCTGTTTAAGACGCGTGAAGGCTGTTTAGAGTTCAGGTTTCGCATAATGTCTTAGGCCTTCATTTTACTTCTCCACATTTAAAAGTAATGTGATGCAAACTGTTCTTCTGTCAGTAATATAATTTCACTTCCTTTTTAGGCCTCATGTTTTTATTTCTAGTTAACACGAAGAGCTCACATGCGTTCTCCTCCGCCTTTCTTTTACTTATCTCGTCTTTCGCCATATTGATTGCTCTACTTTTTCCGTCTGTCTTCCCCTCCCTCTTTCTTGCCATAGAGGAGGAAAGGGGCAGAGAGCTGACATTTAAAATCAGCAAATAATTACTTTACATTTTCCTGGTGGACTACGGAAGGAATGAACAGAAAATGCATAATGAATGAATATTATGTATCTTAAAAAAACCTTTATTTAACCCCTTTCTTTTGCTTTTCACTTACATTCTAGTGTAGAACTGTTTTTTTGGGTTGTAATGTGCTTATAAAATGGGAGACGAATGTGGAAAATTCACTATTTTTGCTTCCTTTGTCTTTCTTTATGCCTTTCCTTTTTTCTGAGAAAGAATAAACTGGATTTGAAAAAAGTGTGAACATCTCATGTGTGCTTATTGACATGATGAAGAGTTTTGCCTTTTTGAGGTCACTCTGGTTTGATGTCAAGCCGCACTATGATATACAGAATATACACATTTTCAGTATTTGTCACTAAATGGGAGTTGTGAGTTGCGGCCTTCTTACTAAATGTTGCTGGCTCTCTTATCAGGTCCTAACAAGCTGCCAACTCGTCTTTAAAGTGATGTAAACAGCTGGTAAATGCTTAGAGAGTTGCTATAAACACACACAAACACACATCTGTTTGTCTGTTCTTGTGTGTGATCCCCAAAGTAGAATTTTGCTCCAAAGTAGAAGAAGCTTCTGATGGCACCAACGGACCTCGTGGGTGGCTGCACTAATTAACGTTGTGAACGCATATTGCGAACGCACGATCCAAAAGCCTCGGCTTTTGGATCGTGGCCTGAGCGTAATCTCCCACCCTCCTCTTCCTGGCCGAAACTGCCCAAACTAAGGAAGTTGGCACATAAATGTAGAGCTTCTTCTCTGTCCGGAACGTGGTTGAAAGGTGAGTCCTCGTGTATTTTTCACATCACAGCCGTGTCCGTTTTTTGGTCAGTTTCTCAGCCTTGGTGTTGGACGTTATTGAACATGCTGACAATATCCTGAGGGTCTCAAAGATTTATGGATTGATTTAGTTTGATAGATTTTTTTTCTTGAAATGGATAATTTCTACATGATCTATATGTGTCTCCCTCTGCTATTATATTTTTAAAGCATTGCATATGTTGACAAAGAACTTCCCTTGATTATCACTTATAAGGAGTAAATGTGGACCTATTTTCTTCATTTTGAATTGGCCTGGAATACGTTGGGGTTTCTTAAAAATCCCCTCAGCCTTTTTAGAGCTGTTGCTTTGTTTTGGTTGTCAGTGTCTACGCTCTCTTGCGTGTTATGTTGTATTGATTATAGCCTAACAAATAGGATGAAAGTAAAGTGCCAGGATTGGGTTGGAACAAGAAGAATGTTTACTATGGGCTGCCTAGTTTCAGAGGGGGATTTGAAGGGATAAGATGTCGTGGCCAGTGGTAAGTAATCTCCGTACAGCTCAGCAAACAAGGACGCCTGCCGTTCTTACCGCCTTGAACAGTTACACACACCATCCTCGTATTGGATTCTGCTTCGTCTCTCATGCCGTTCGATCTGTGCTTCACTGTAGCGGCGAGGGAAATAATGGGTGTTTTATTTCCTACTTTAAAAAAAAGAAGGCGCATTAGAGGGAGAATGATCTCAGGTATAGAGTGAATGCAATGGAAGGTAAACTTATCCAAAGTAATCACAGGATCAGTTTCGCTGTCATGCGTCAGACTAATGTCCGGGCAGCGCTGAACTCACTCTGTGTGATGGTAAATGAACTTATTCGTCATAAGAAATATACAGGATACGCAGTACAGGTCAAACGATTGAACACAACTTTTTCACTGATGCTGTATGTAATTACGTGAAATATCCATTCCAGCTGATTTTATAGCCTCATTGATTATGCAAATAAATGACACAAAAAAATACAATCTAACTGGGCATTTGAATAAAACATTTTTTATAATACCATGGTCAAAATGTGTCATCATAGAAATCTATCCAGGAATATAACTGTGACCGGATGAGGGGTTTCCCCTCCCTCTTACCTGCACACAGGGGTGTGGACCAGCACACCTGGGGCTAATTCCGATTGATTGGGAGAGGCGGGGACATTACTTAAGCCGGTGGTGTGTGGACTTGTTCTGTTGTCGTCTCCTTCTGGGTGTCTGTGAGACGTGTGCGGGAGGCGTGCTTCATGTTTTGGCCGCTGCCCTAGATCATCATCATTCTGCTGCGGTGTGGTAAGGGCACTTTCCCCATCTTTTGTGCCTTTTTATTGTCCTGTGTCGCCGTGTATGCGGCCCTAATGTGCATTCTTTCATATAGCGACCCTGTCTTGGTCATGGATGTCCCCCGTGTGGGTGGATGTATGCCTGGACTGCTGGCGTTCGGCGTCTCGGTACAATGCATGCCTCCCTCTTTCGACACATTTGGGCGTTATTAAAATCTGCCAGTCTTAGAGTGTGTGTGTGTGTGTGTGTGTGTGTGTGTGTCACCCACCCACCCACCCACCCGCCGGGGTCCGTGGGCGGCCTGTCGGTAAGTCGCTCTGTTTGCTGTACATTCATTGCGGTCGTGTTCTAACTGTGTTTCACAACACAGCTGGACCGGGCTGCAGCCTTGGACATGCTATTGTGGGTCTATCCTGGTGCCACGACTAATTAAAGGGCCAATATTCCCCGGCGCGTTCTTGATACTGGCTGAAACCGTTCTGGATTCTGGTAACTTTTGACTACACAAGCTATCTGGAAACTGGTACAAAAATGGCTCTATATTGTATTAACTGTTGTACATATTGCATGTGGGTCTTTTCCTTTTTGTTATTTTGTTTGCATCTTCCTTATTATGCATGCTGGTTTATTGATTTGAATTTTTTATTTTCTTTATCACTCATCTACTCACTTCTTAACAAAGAACATATTGTCATTTTAAAAAGAATATTTAACGAAATAAAATCGTATATGTTTATAATTACCTTATGGTCTGTGACCCCTAATTTTGGTCAACGGCTGTGTGCCTTAACAAGAATGGTCTTGGGCCTATCCCAAGTTGTGGTGGTGGTGGTGGTGGTGTTGTTGGACATTGTTATTTTCCTAGAGTGTCATAGGCCACTCGTATTGCCACATAACGTTTTCTTAATCAATTCAAGAATTACAGTATAAAGCAGATATGATACCAAGCAAGTTTTTCTTTTCCCACTCTGGCTGCTCTCGTCCGTGTTGTGGTCGGACCCTGATTCTATAACCCCCGGTCCACTACCTGCCGGCACCAACGCGGACAGACGAGCTGTCGTACCTTCTTTCTATTGCCCCGAGTGCTTGGCCAACATTTAACTGTGGTAACTTTCTGCAAAAAAAACACGTTATGTTACTAAATACTCACTTTGAAATGCATTCATGGTCATGGGTTCCTGTTGACGTTACTTAGGACGCCTTCTTACTGTTGGCAGGCTTTATGGGTTAGATGTGTTCTTTAATATTATTAAAGTGTGACTCCACATCAAGAGACACATGCGGCGTAATCCCGTCTCAGAGCCATGGCCGACGACTCCAGCGGCGCTCATTATTACCATTAACCACCACAAACTGACTGTATGCTGCTGACATTGGTCAGGTTTAAGAAGAAATTATCAGCGACCTAGAAGATCCAATCCCAGTTTAGCCATTACTGTCAGTAGGACATTCTTTTCCCATGTGACCTTTACGGAGGAAGCTGACTACACACTTCTCGTCAATTTTAGGATGACTTTAACAGAGTGAGCTAAACCAGTGGAAAGGGTAAGACTATAATGAAGAATTACTGACAAACTGGGAGGTCTGTATAGAGAGGCCTCTGTAGTAGGATGCTGGAAAAGAAGGATGGAGGTTTCAAATTGCAAAAGGATGAGCTCACTTTGGAACGCTTTATTGATCTTCAGTGTCAACGTCTGTGTGTTTAATTTTCAGCTTTGATTTTGTGTCAATGTTGCCAATAAAGTGTTCAGTATAGCGAGCGTAGGAGAGGTGTATCATATGATTAGCGTGTTTATACCTGATTAAATGACCTGCTTCACACACGGTAATTAAAGAAAACCCAAGGGTAAATAATCCAGTCAATGACATTCAAAGCAAGTATAATCAAATTTAACTCTAAAATGGTTAAAACGTTTGGGTAAAACTCTGTATACTAGTCGCAGAGGACTTGAATCGGTAATCGTTTTCTTCAATCATGCGCATCGTAATATTCATCTTCCCTTAAACCAATGTGAGTTATGGAATAAGCTGCACTCTGTCATGTATTAATTACTTACACAAAGAATTATCATTGGCTGCAGCCTTTTTTTTTAAGTTCGTCAAATCAATGTTTTTTCAGCATCTACAGTGCTCATTGTCTATCTCTCGTTCCAAACCAAAGATAGCGTCTCACTTCTCCCAAATAACACATTTCCTTATTAATGTGCGCTCGTCGTTTGCTGTGTGCAAGTGTTAAGCTTCCATTATGTGGCGGTCTGGGTGGCTGCCGCTATCGATTTCCTGTTTCTCAATTCTCTAAGCAGAAGCCAAACTGTGCAGCCCGAATGGATCTCTCTGCTCTGTTTCTCTGCGCCTCTCTCTCCCTCAGTCTTTTTAAACTATCCTTTGTTTTCCAACATTTTATCTCTAAACAGCCTTCTCCTAGCTTTTCTTTGCTGTGATATTCTGCTTCCTTCTCTGGCACTGGATCACTGGTCTGTTCGAGACCCACAGGTTAAAGAATTTGAATCCAGTTTGGACCAAAGAAGCCGTTTTGACAGCTGCAGCATAACAAGCAGCAAAACATACGCCCACGTTGTGCTCCAGTGGATTTAAACGACCGCTTTGGATTTTTGTGAGGAAAAATATCCCCTTTTATCAGCTGTTCTGATAAAAATTAAAATGTGTAGCTGTAATGAATCCCCGCTGTTAATTAGTGCCACGTATTGTCCAGTCAATACTACATGGGCTTTGTTTTTACACTATTCCAATTAAAATGACAAGAGCATGCTAAAATGTTAACCATTTGAACAATCGTACTTTGAGAAGTACTTCTGAAAAGTAGAGTTCTTCACTGGCTCTTAGATTTAAGCTTTTTAAAGTCTGCAAAAACAACTGACCGTCATCAGATCATAGGATCTGACACACGACTTGATATTTGCATCAGAAACTTTGACTTGTGCAGTAAATGTTCATTTACCAGACATGGAGGGTCTAACAGAGTATCCCATGAAGTTCCATTGTGTCAATGTTGGCAAATGGTTTCAAACCTTTTTTGGCCCAAGACTAGTCAGAATAAATAATCTTAAACAGTCTCTGTAATAATACACGATTGGGGGTAATTGATTGCCTGCGCATTAACAATGCCAACAACCGCAAAAGTGCTTGCAGAGCTAAGTGTT